TCTTCCATACTCAAACACCTCCTCCTCCTCCCTCACCTTCCCCCTACTCCTCCTCCTCCTTCCTCCTCCTCCTCCTCCTCGCCTACTTCCAACACCTTTCTTCCTCCTCTTCCTTGCTCCTCCACTCCCTCCTGCCTCTCCTTCCTCCTCCTCCTCCTCCTCCTCCTCCTCCTCCTCCCCTCCTCCTCCCTACTCAAGCACCTTCTCCTCCTCCTCCTCCTCCTCCTCTCTCCCTACTCTTTTTCCCTCCTCTCCTCCTACTCCAACACCGTCCTCTCCTCCTCCTCCTCCTCTCCTCCTCTCTCCTCCTCACATTATTATTAAGCATTATGCAGATTAGAGTTTATGAGGTCCAGTTTCGGTGCGAGCGTCCAAATAGCGGCACCCCGGGACTGGGCGGCGTTGACGCCGGAGTCTACTGACGCATATTGCCGCGATGTGGCCTGTGTGCTCTCTTGCGAAAAAGAGGCGCCTGCGCGCATGCGCACTTAGGAGCGTCCAGTTTCGGGCGAGCGTCCAAAGACCCCGGCTACAGGCCTACCCCTTGACTTTGAAGACTTAATCAGACAGTTAGTATAGGGTTACTCTTTATTGAGGTTATATGACGTTATATGAGTAATATGAACTACATACTTACACATGTGTAGCTCATTATTTCAGTGACATCGGCGCACACATAATGTATGACAGATGGAGAATATTTCATATGAAGTTTGTTATAAGTGTTACAGAGAAGCAGCGAAAGAGTGAAACGCCCGAATACTGAATAGCCGGAGGGATTGAAAGAGCCAGAATTTACCCGGAAGGATACCGCTATGTGGTTGATTTCTGAGAGTTCGTTTGCGCACTATTTCCGCAAATCGCAGAGAACAGTACTGCGCGATTGCTGAGCGCCTAGTCAAGAAGAGTTAGGCAGATCAATGTAAGCTCTGTATACATTGCAAGCTCTGAGTATATGACCAGCTTGGTCATAAAATTCAATTCAACTTCTTCACAGACTCTATTACTCGTGTTCAAACTGATTGTACAAGTTTACGAATCTCTTATAATAATACACATGCATTGTGTGTCGACGTAAAATTCAAATCAATACTATTGTTTAAGGCATTTATGGATAATTAGCAAAAGCTACCTATTCCGTGCGCAGTTTAGGCGCAACAACATTGTTATTGCAGGCATAAAAGGCAGAGTGGATGTGTGATAGAATGGGAAGCAGACGCGGTTACACACGCAATGTGTTCGCATCATTTTCGCATCATCCAAAGCAGAGATTTGATTCGACTTTCTCGCACGCAAGCGTACGTACGAACAGGTGGTGTGTGTGCCGCGTGTTGTGACTATCTCTGCAACATTGTTGTGACGTCTGTCACCTAACGTAGGGTTCTATTATGTATAATATTAGTTCAGCTCAAAATTTTATTTTGGTCATTGCGTTTTGATACGAAGTGTATGTGAAAAGTGTTTAGTCCATTAACTTGTAGTGTAGTGATGTATCTTGTTAGTCTACGTTAGGCACCAAAGATAATGGGGAACGTTGATGTGACATCATCAAGCATCGGCAACAATACGGAAATCGAGAAGAATTCGTAAAGCGACGGCAGAGATAATTGTGGACCGAATGGTTCTACACTCTGAACGGCAAGTTCGCTCATTGTTCACGTTGTTCAGCAGCTGTTCTTAGGATTAAGATAAGGCTGGGCATACAGAAGCCTAATAAACAATCACACACTTAGACCGCGGTTGAGATCGTCCCAAGTTCATAGGCCACTTTCAAAGTTAACGTATATCCCAGTTAATTGTTCAACACCGTTTTACATTTACAATGCATATTTTTTGTAGAAATACATAGTATTTTTCTGTCATCTATTTTGCAGAGCAATAGAGCTTCTTACAGGATGCCTATATCCTGCTGTGCAGGGCTAACACAGTGTCTGCACTAGGTCCATCAGCGCTAAGGGTATGTGAGTGCTATCTTGCCTAGATATATAACTATGGAGTCGCATATGTAATATTGTGAGTGGAAGCAGATCAGCCAATCTAATCACCATCCCTGTCACAGATTGTTAATTTTATGAATAATTGAAATTTGTTTATCATCTGTCTTTTTCTAGCGCAAGGAAGACTTATAGAATGACTGCCATGAAAAATATTACCACCGATCTACAACATCAAAGGATAGAAGGCACACCAATTCATATGCTATTAGTGCCTCATGTTAAAAGAAGATGATGAATAGCCATGCAAAATTTGACTTGCAATAAGGTGCCACTTAAACCAGTTATCGTTACTGCTAACCCAGCTGCTCGACATCTAAACTTGTCCCCACCAAAAGTTGCGGTTAAGGGTTAGAGTTAAGTTAGGATTATGGTTAAGATTTGGAGGGCCGTTTAGAAGCTAGCGGTTAGGCTAGGAATTAGGGTCAAGATATGCGCTAGGTTAAAATCTAGAGCCCAGGATTAGGGTTAAGGCTAGGCGTTAGAGTTTTTGTGTTAGGGTACGGCTGAGGCTAAGGGGATAAGGCGTTGAGGTAGGATAGGTTGAGGCTAGGGAATAGGCGTGAGGCTAGGCGCGTTATCGGTTTGAGGCTGTGTTTAGAGGTTAAGGCTAGGGGTAGGTGGAGGCTAGGGATAGGCTGAGCTAGGCGTTAGGCGTTGAGGCTGAGTTTAAGGTTAGCTTGGGTTAGTGTTAGTTTGAGTGTTAGTGTTAGGTTAACTGCTGTATGTAAAGCTGATCTATGTTTCAGAACGCTGATGATCAAGAAGGGAGGTAGACGAAGGACCGACAAAGACGAGTCGTGGGACGATTCCTCCCAAAGTTGCGGCTAAGAACCATCAGCAAGAGGAAGCAGACCGACAAGAAAGCTTGGCGAACGAAAATTAGCACTCCATTTCCTCCTCTCAGCCAGACAGCAAGTATGGCTACCAGGGTCGTGACCTCTGTGTATCTCTTGATCTCTAGGGCAGCCTGCCCCTCTAGATTTTGAAACGCACAATAAAAAACAGTTTAGGTAACAATCTGCAAGTAAATGAATGTAATGAATAACGAACACATTTAGAATTTAATATAAAACTATGACAATGACAAACACTATCTCCTCAACCTAAATCCTATCCTATATGCGATTTATTTCTTAAAAAATCCATCCACCAGGAACTTGCTCAGCCTATGCCCTCACAAACTCACCTTCTTTCTCTAACCTCCTTCATCGCTGTGTGCGCTGAATATTCATTTGCTGCGGCCAGAATTCTGGGATTGTCTGTATTTCCATTAATTTACACTCATAAGTGACTGCTTCAACTTTAGCTCCTTTAGATTTGTCTTTAATGTTTTCCGTTCTGACTGTTCAAGGACACGGTGTAAAAACCAACGCCATATATGCTGAGCATGTGATTGCGCATCTGTCCATAATCGACTTTATGACCGTGTTTGACATTGCCATGCTTCTCTGTACGTACTTTAGATTGAAGCCAGTTGGCAACCTGGTGAATATGTTCCTGCAAGCAGAGGCAGAAGCTGCCAAATAAGTTCAGAAACAGCTCAAGGCTAACTTAGAATATAGCTGGCGTATTAGGTTGTTCCTCGTTGGGCTCCTCGTAGGGTCTAGCTGACACCTGATGTGTATTAATACTATATATTAATATATACATCAGGAGTCTATCAATATTGATAGACTCTCTATATATGTATATACGTGCGGCTCTGCCCTGCTGATCCTAACAATCATGTCATTTAATTTATCATTGTTAAGGTAAGAGGAAGGGTTAATTACACATTATGTTGTTATTCCTCTGATGTTTAGTTTTTGCGGGTGAATCTAATTGTGCGCCATAAGTAGTTCTATTTATTGGATTGAACAGGGAAAAGAAATAGTCAATCTGATGCCAAGAGAGAGGTAGAAGAGACGTAACAGAAGCCTCTATACCCCCTTGAAGAACCAGCCCGCCATCTACTGTCAAAAGTTCAGCAAGAAAAGTGCAGCAAGTACACGAATTATAGTGCAGAAACATATTAATCCAAATGGTTTCATCTCTAGAAATTTTAAAACTGATGCAATTAAACTATGTAAATTTTCACCCATAGTGTTGCTGCCTGCACTGCTCATATTTTTATACAGCAACAATTGATATTGAATGCGCATAAGAGGAAGGCTCCGAAAGCAACAAGGTGCGTAGACAGGTCTATATTATTAAGCAATTTCGATGACGTGTTCTTACTCAGTTAGTCGTAGCTGGACTCTATTTTTATCAGGGAGAAATCAGTATAGTGAGCCAAACATTAATGTTACTGTTCCAGATAAAACAAAATGGGAAAGGACGTTTCAAAGGCCAGAAACCAAATGAGGAAGAAGAAAAAACTGTTCAACGCATGAGGCTTTGTTGTATGTTATATGTGCGTGTCATGGTCTGTCGTCAGTCCTGAAGTTATTGTGAATGTTAATCTGTTCTAATGGGTAGTTATGCTCTGCAGTTCATGGAAAAAACATCACCCTTAGCCCAGCAGTTGGCTTCCGATTATATAGATGATAGGTTGCGAAATTAATTTTTATTAAAACATGATAATAGTTCTAGCGGATGGACATCATTACTGCTTTGGCATTTCGCTTTAATACTGATAGGTAAATGTGTTTTGGAATGTAAATACTGGTGTACGCTTAGGTTTATCGAGTTACTAAACTCCTTAGTGGTATTATACTATACATGTATGTGTATTGCTTACTTATTCATGAATAATATATCGGAATAACTGATGAATAAAAGTAATAGTACATTTGAGAATTTTGTACCTCCCCTTGTCCATTTATGTAGCATATAGCAACGAGTGCTAATGATCGTAGTTTATTCATGAGTACGTCAGGGTATAGTCTTGTAATCGCAGTGTCAATTAATAAACATTAATTCTCACACGTAATCTGATCATCAAACAAGATAGGATACATTCATGGTAAATGTTTAACAATTTGCATTCATAAATGTCTTAAACCTCACTATATTTGTCAGTAATTTTCACATGTTCAAACAGCTACTGACCATTATTTATACACTTGCAATTTTTCTTCAGGGCATGATTTGCTATAAATCCAGCCTAGCTTTAATCTTAACAACAACTAAATGACTATAGCACGGCAACAAACTATTACACACGGTTCATAGGACGGCATTTGCTGTAGCGAGGCAACCCAATACCAGCCATGCACATCATTTAGGTCAGCCATCTTGATCGACTGAGAATAAGGTCAGTTATCTGTGCAGAACATTGCAGCAGAGCCACACAGAAAACTATAGGATAACCATTCATGCTATATGTAGCGATTGTGATTGATCCTCTACGTGAACTACTCTAAGAATAGCACCAAGGCCAGCAATATGGCCAGTAACATTCCAGCAAAAAGCTTAGCAGTAAAGTCATGAAATGGTTCATATGCAGCAGTGTTGCTTGAGGTTGGCTATTTGGGCGAGGACACTCTCCCTGCTGGTACCTCCGTAAGCCTGGTACTGCTGTACGCTGCTCTCATAGTCCCACACAGCAGAGACGTCCTCCTCGAACGTAGTGCTGCGAGGAGAGACAGCGCGCGACGCGTCAGTACATTCAGCGTCACCTCATCGCGCTAATTTACATCAATTAATTACTTGTGGGACCTGTCGTAACGCGTATCAACCACAGCTTACTATGGCTCATAGGGTCTATGTCCCCCAGGGTACTGCCGGAACGTACCCCGGTAACTATCTTGTATCATCGTAGGGTTAGGGCTTCAGGGAGATAGCGCTAGCAGGGCGCACTCCCTGACTCGTTAGATGGAGTAGGCGAAGGTACGGTCCGGCCATATTAGATAGTACCAGGGTATCGTTCCGCAGCTACCCTGGGGGACATAGACCCTCTCAGCCTTACTAAGCCAGACCCGCACCATGGCAGTCATGCAATTCACCTACAGAATGTGCAGTTAGCTGCGCAAAGCACTGGATGAACACGATACTGACGTTTTGGAGATGGGATGGAACGATACGACAAGGATCCTCAACAAGTTAGGCAATGCACGTCCACTATTCCATGCAAGCTGTACATAGCTGCGATCGGCACAGAACAAGATGCACGCATATGTAGATATATCTTCCCGTTTGCTATATATCTTATATACTGACTGTGACATTACACGATAAATGTTCTTTATTACAGGCAGTGTCATAAAAACAAAACCAGCAATTGCCACAATCTTAAGATATTTACTTTGTCAGGTTTCTGGCAAACGGTCTATGAGAAAAAAGCTGCACGTTAGGATGTTTTAAGATTATTATTTCGCCCTTCAACACCTGAACGGAACGGTGTAAACGGGTCTCTGACTTATTAACGTGTCATATGGATGTGTTTGTGTAATCGCTTGCATCACTCACCTGATGGCTCATTGCAGATCCTGCCCACGCTGCAGATCCTGGATTGTGCATCCCTTCTGGTTCAGCGAGGGCCACGGCCCTCCGGATAACCCTGTGCGCCTCCCTGAAAGAATCATACACAAACAGCACAGCCAATGGAGTGGCAGTAGTACGAGGGGGACGAACGCTAAAATACGTTAAATACTCGCTCGTCGTCAGTACATGGTTATTTTGGAGATGAGGTTTGTGATGTTCTATCCTATTACTTTTCTCCCTCATTTCTAAGTACAGACGTTGGTGGGACACAGATAGGTTGACACTCGAAAAGAAGTGACAATTTTTGTGCAATTCGCGCTCTTACTCAGCAATACTCACCCCTTTCCTGACTAGGTTAGTAATGCTAGGTCAGGTAGGCAAGCATGCAAGAACTAAGTGCAGCAGTGCACGCCTCAGGATGCACCTGCAAGTATGCCGAAACGAAATGACAAGATCAATAGAGAATATTATTCTCATCAGTGGGTAGCAGGAGGTTAAAGAACATTCACCGGTGAATCAAGCTTCAGTAAATGCCCGCAACAAGACCTATTCACCAATATGCAGGCTATAGTATATACAATAATGAAATCAACACAAGAGTCGGTGTTGTCTAAAGACTGGAAGTGAAGGCAGATCCACATACTCGAAACCTACCACTACCATGCATTACTCCACGGTCAATGCTTGACAGCGTTTCCGTAAGGCAACCTGCAAGGCACCGCCGGTCAATCGTGTCGTAGACACATCAAACGAATGCTTCCTTGTCCTCCTGAAGGTCTTTGTTATAAGTGTGCTGGGCAACTCCCTTCAGTACCATCACATGATCGCTGCACCACTACCTCACAGCAAACATTACACCATCAGATAAATAGCCCATCCAACGTAGTCATGAGTCTGTAGAATGTCTTCCGACCAAGTCTTGTGAGAGGATCCATTGAGCGGTGCGGAAACGTATAGCCGGACACACACACACACACATAAACACACAGACAGAAATCCGCCAATTTATAGTAAGATTGACATTAACATTATCATTAACATTAATATTATCATTAACATTATCATTATCATTAACATTAATAATAATATATATTAATATAGAGGTGCGGTGCAGGCCACCATGATGGCAGGAGTGTAATATAGAGGTGCGGTGGCAGGGCACCGGATGATTGGCAGGAGCTGTATAGTAGCGTCGGCGGCGGAGGGCCACACGAGTGGCAGGAGGTGTACTAGAGGTGCGGTGCAGACCACCATTGATGCAGCGAGTGTAATAGAGGTGCGGATGCACAGCGGCCACATGATGGCAGGATGTGTATCAGCAGGTGGCGGTGGCAGGCCACCATGATGGCAGGAGTGTATAGAGGTGCAGGCCACCATGATGGCAGGAGTGTATAGAGGTGCGGTGCAGGCGCCAACCCATGATGGCAGGAGTGGGTATAGGAGGTGCGGTGCAGGCCACCATGAATGGCAGTAGTGTATTATGGAGTGCAGGCCACATGCATAGGCAGGAGTGTATAGAGGTGCGGTGCAGGCCACCATGATGGCAGGAGTGTATAGAGGTGCGGTGCAGGCCACCATGATGGCAGTAGTGTATAGAGGTGCAGGCCACCATGATGGCAGGAGTGTGGCCCTTACAGTCCCAAACACTCGTCCAGCCTTGCCACGGATCAGCTCCAGACTGTCTGCATTCTTCTTCTGTGGCATCAGGCTGCTCCCCGTGCTACAGGCACACACACAACACACAACATTCAACTACACGTACAGAACACGTCGTCAAGCGCAAAACACTGACGCACGTGTGCGACGGCGTAGCATGTACCACAGAGCTCAATAGTGTGCAGAACGATAACTAGAGACAACTTAGAGGTAATAGTGGCCATACTAGTACGTGAAGATTCTCAGGTAATTCTTATGTGCGTCTGATACTAAACCGGTATAATACGGCAGGGTAGTCACAAGGTAAATTACAGCATGTTGATTAGGCAATTATGGTCTGCGGATTTATGGCATGTCACAAATGAGCTTCAGCTTTACAGCATTCCAGACGCGAGATGCGGTATAGGCTAGCGAGACCCTGGTATATATACATACAATCATACATACATACATACACACACGTGCACATGCACACGTACGCACGCACTCACGCACACGCATGCACGCACACACACACACAGATATGCACGCACGCACTCACGCGAGCACACACATACACGAGGGAGAGAGAGAGAGAGAGAGAGAAAGATAGAGAGACCTGCGAGACCATCATGCAGGGAAGCATGGGAGGGGGGGAGGGAGGAAGGAACGGATGATTCGTCTGCCGGTGTCTCATCACCTGTAGGCATCAGACAGCGTCACGTAGGAGAACTCCTTCGTACAGTAGAGGATCAGGTCCTCTGCAAGCTTGCTGAGGTGGGTCGCCGTCATCGTCGCCCAGAACAGGAACTCAGCGACGAAGTCTCGTCCACCCGTCGCATCTAGACTGTTACCACTGATCGTCGCAAAGCCTAGGTCTGCACAGCAGCGGGTAAGGGAATAGAGAGAGGGAGAGGGAGGGAAGGAGAGAGAGAGGGGAGAGAAAGGGGCAGAGGCGAGAGAGTGAGAGAGAAAGAGAGGGGGGAGAGAGAGAGATAGAGAGAACAGAGAGAAAGGGGCAGAGGCGAGATCGTGAAAGAAAGGGGAGAGAACAGAGAGAAAGGGCCAGGAGCAAGTGAGAGAGGAGAGAGAGGGGAGAGAGAGGGAGAGGGGGAAAGTAAGAAAGAGAGGGGGGAGAGAGACACATACCAAACACGTATCACGGCGGTGGGGGAGAGATTGGAGAGAGGGAGAGGGAGGGAAGAAGAGAAAGAGGGGGAGAAAGGGGCAGAGGAGAGAGAAGAGAGAGAGGGGGAGATGAGAGAGAGAGAGGAGAGAGAGAGAAGAGAGAGAGAGAGAGAGTAGAGAGAAGAGAGAGAGAGGAGAGGAGAGAGAGGAGAGAGAGAGAGAAGAGAAGAGAGAGAGATAGAGAGAGAACCGAGAGAAAGGAGCAGAGGTGAGATAGTGAGAGAGAGGGGGGAGAGAAAGGGGGCGAGTGAGAGAGGAGAGAGGGGGGAGAGAACAGAGAGAAAGGGTCAGGGGTGAGAGAGTGAGAGAGGAGATAGGGAGGAGAGAGAGAATAGAGAGAAATGGTCAGGGGCGAGAGAGTGAGAAAGAAAGAGAGAAAGAAGAGAACGTATTAAACATGAGTCAAGGGCATGCCTGCGGTTCCTTAGCCATAAACCTAACCCTTACCCCAACCCTTAACTGAACCTCTACCTTAACCCTAACCGTAACTGTAACCCTTACCCTAACCCGAACCCTTAGCCTAACCCTTACCCCTACCCTAACCCTAATCCTTACCCTAACCCAAATTTAACCCTAATCCTAATCCTAACCCTTCACTAACACCATACCTGCAGCCAGCATCTCACGGTCCACGTTGAAGGGGTTGCCGGCGAGGGCGCCACTGCCGAGCGGACACACGTTGACGCGTGGCGCCAGCTCGTCCAGTCGCTGCATGTCACGCGACAGAGCCCACGCATAGCTGAGCAGCCAGTGACTCCAGCGGATCGGCTGCGCACGCTGCATGTGCGTGTATCCCGGCATGAGGATGTCTATCTCCCTGCAAGGCAACATACACACACACATGAACAGACAGATGAACGGACAGACGGACGGACAGATGAACAGACAGACAGATGGACAGACGGTCAGACAGAAGGAGACAGACAGAAGGAGACAGACAGAGGGAGATACAAACAGAGAGAAAGAGAGAGAGAGAGAGGGAGGGGAGAGGGGGGGAGCGGGAGAGAGAAAGAAAGAGAGAGAGGGCAAAAGAGAGAGGGAGAGGGAGAGAGAGAGAGCGAGAGAGAGGGAGAGAGAGGAAGAGAGAGAAAGAGAGAAAGAGAGAGACAGAGAGACAGAGAAAGTGAGAGAGCGAGAAAGAGAGAGTGAGAGAGCGAAAGAGAGAGCGAAAGAATGTCTATAACAAGTCAGTGTGAGGTATCTATATCTCCCTGTAAGGTGACAGTGAGAGTCAGATACAAGTGTAAAGCAATGTCTAGCACAAGACACCAGACATGGAGAATGTGCTGCTCTCTAACATAGAAAAGAATCACCGAAACATACCTAAAACCCATGAACCCAAAATTTAGTAGACTTGCGCGCACACACGCACGCACGCACGCACGCACGCACGCACGCACGCACCCACGCACACACACCGAGACAAGAAAAAAACGAATAAAAAATATAAAAAATACTGCGACACTAAATAAAAAAACTACACACGAAATAAAAGATAAACAACGAAATTAAAGAGAGAGAACAACAAAACAAGAGAGCGCGTGGTTGCGGTGACGGACGTGTATACTCAACTGTTCAGCGCGCAGCACCAGCACCTTGATGAGGTCATACAGGTGACCTCGCAACGTGCGCACGCCCCCGCGTAGCCAGATGCGCGTGTCCGTAGCGGCCTGGTCGTTACGGCTGCGCCCCGTGTGAAGCTTGCCCGCCGGCGCACCAATCAGCTCCTACAGCAGACGAAGACGGGAACGATCGAACGCTCGCTTGTTTCAACCCAGCGAAAAATCGCGGAGAATCGGATTCAGATGCCGCGTTGATTTTCGTAGAAGCAATGGGATTAAAGATAAATGTTCGTTTTGAAGCGTATACGATTGAAATTATCATTAGCGTAGCAATATATTAATGACACAGAACACTTCAGAGAGATGACTCAGCTTCTCTCCCTAAAGCGGGGAACACACCATGCAAATTTATTCTCACGTCCACAGCAATTGTAAAATCGCAGCAAAATTCGCATGGTGTGTCCGCTCAAGCACGAGCGAATTTCATCCGCACCGAAACTTGCAGCGATCAAACGTTTGATATTTTCGCTGTGGACGTGCGGACGAGCGGACGTGCAAATTTATTCTCACGTCCACAGCGATTGTAAAATCGCAGCGAAATTCGCATGGTGGTCCGCTCAAGCGCGGGCGAATTTTGCTGGGAATTTCATCCGCACCAAAATTCGCAGCGATCAAACGTTTGATATTTTCGCTGCGGACGTGCGGATGAACGATCGAACGGACGTGCGAATAAATTCGCATGGTGTGTCCCAAGCTTAACACTCGATCACCGGTACATTCCGACCTCACCCTACATGCATCCGTACCCTAGCAGATTTCAACTGCATGTGTGAACTGCTCTCTTACCAGTGGGAACACTCACCTTCTACGTTCTATCTGCCCTACAGTTTTATTCTAGGTTCCTATACCCTATACCCTATACCTTTTAGATTGTAACTTTCCGCTACACCTTCTAAATTCCATCTTTCCTACCCCTTCTATATTATATGTTCCCCACCTGATCTAGGTTCCATCTCTCCTACCCCTTCTATATTATATGTTCCCCACCTGATCTAGGTTCCATCTCTCCTACCCCTTCTATATTATATGTTCCCCACCTGATCTAGGTTCCATCTCTCCTACCCCTTCTATATTATATGTTCCCCACCTGTTCTAGGTATCATCTCTCCTACCCCTTCTATATTATATGTTCCCCATCTGTTCTAGGTACCATCTCTCCTACCCCTTCTATATTATATTTTCCCCATCTGATCTAGGTTCCATCTCTCCTACCCCTTCTATATTATATGTTCGCCACCTGATCTAGGTTCCATCTCTTCTAGGTTTCGATGTTCTCTATGAACTTGTCTCCCCGTGCGCGCGCTCACACTCACCTTAAGGCGTCGTTCGTTAGCCGTGTGGATATCTTCATCACCAGGCTTCAACAGGAAGCTCCCGGCTTCCCACTCTGCTGCCACCTACAGGAGAAGCATACAATGATGACCGCGAACAGGCGACAAACCCACGAATCAGTGAGAAATGGAGAACGAAACGAACGCGATTACTGCTGCGACGGTGCAACGTTAGCACTTGTGTCGTCTGCTCATCTACATACACCACTACAGCAGTGTAACGTAGACGCATCATATGTATATATATATATATATATACACACATATGTATGTATATATATTGAGTGACTGATGACATCTTCTTCACCGAGATATTTGTCTACTAGCTGGAGACACACAAACGTAACTACGTGAGTTTAATATGTAAAAAGAAGAAATCTTACGAATACCAGCACCTCCGGATTTCAGTCAACATCTTCTGGCTCACTTAACCGACTCTCGTTATGCAGCAAAACGAAAAGAAATGTGTCGCATTTATTCACTTATCGACAGTGACGGGTGATTCGTCCCACTCACCGCGGTCAGCCCAGCGACAATGGCGTCGCGTTCCTCTGCTGTGACCAGTCCTGCCCTCTGGATGGCCTTAACGTAGGCTTTACTTCCCTAAAGCAGTCAACAGCATTAGTTAGCCACGGACGCGAGTAATTGTACCCGCAGGTGACAACACGTGATAACAGAGTCAGTGTAAGAAGAAGTATATCTCCTTCACACAGTCAGTGTAAGAGGAAGTATATCTCCTTCACACAGTCAGTGTAAGAGGAAGTATATCTCCTTCACACAGTCAGTGTAAGAGGAAGTATATCTCCTTCACGCAGTCAGTGTAAGAAGAAGTATATCTCATTCACGCAGTCAGTGTAAGAGGAAGTATATCTCATTCACACAGTCAGTGTAAAAAGAAGTATATATGGAGATTTGGGCGGTATTGTGAGTTGATGCATTATAGGTTGCTTATCTTGAAACGCTTCGAAGTGGCCTGTGCGTCTTCAGTATAGCCTAGGGGTAGTTCTATTAACCTCTTACGCAAGAGCTGGGTTTCTTGCTAGCTGGCTGGCATAGTAGTGCTCGTGAAGTACCTAGGCGTGGCTTCAAGCGATAGAGAACCAATCGGCTCCCAAACTGATTCATATGGGCCCGTGGGCCGAAATGTAGGTGGCATGGCTGCCCAAGTGGATACAGAACCAATGTCATTTACACACTTCTAGATCTGAGAATATAAGCTCATTGCCATAGGTACATATAAGTGAGGTTTGAGGTTATTGGTTAGGCCCGGTTTCAGGGTTCGTCCATTGCATACTATGTGGAGTGAAGTTAGTTCTAATACCTAGGTAACAGAGGTTAGTCATCTGATTAACTCAAATTACTCGATTAGCGGCGGTCCTGCGGGTGGCCTGGTAGCTTGACCTAGTACTAGTACCTAGTAGTGGCTGTAACTTCCGAGGTGAGTAGCTAGGGACTACACTGCTGACTAGTACCTTAGTATGTAGTGAAGTCGAGTAAGTGCCGTGTCGCGGTAGACCCTAGACGGGGGGAGGTCAGGCGGGCTATTGTTTTGCGCAAGCGACATCTTCGTACGACGGTCTCTAGTGCGCCCGCTGAGTTGCGTTCACGTCTAACGAACTGTATTGAATCAAGTGTGTGCTGTATGCGTGCGAGGCGCCTTGACGTCTTCCTGGGCCAGTGTCTGTGTAAACTATGCGAAAAACTGGCAAAAAAGCGGGCTAGTAGTCTGAGAGGAGAATCGCGACGCGGCGCCGCCGGATGGTGGACCAGGTTCAATTAAAGGAGAAGCAAGATTGGCTGAGCGATAACTGAACACGCGATCGTCACGAGTTCCAGGTTAGACTGGCACGGACGTTAATGTCGGCTAGAGTCTCTTTGGTCTCTACACTATAAGTTAATAGTTTACTGCAAGGGCGTGTCAAACTATGCACCCTGATGCGGGGCGTCCCGGTCTGCAGGAAATGTTATGTGCCAAATGGCCTCGAAAGAGACCTCGAGTGGCGCGACCTTATCGGCCGGCGGATATGTCACGAGAATAACTTCAGGGCGGTTGAAGAATGAAAATAAATGTGAGAGAGATCGGTGTGTGGTGAGTAGCAGAAACAACGCAAAGGCGGCGGCCGCGAAGACGCAAACAAAAGTACCGAAGATACCGACGGCATTGCGTGCGAGTTTATCTCGGCGAGCTATCGTAGCAGAGAGTCGCACACAAGACTTTTCACGGGGGCAATGGCGCAGGGAACTGGCTTACCAAAGTTCATTCACCTGATTCCTGGGCCTCTTATGTACTACCAAGTGATTTGCGTATAGTAGCTTACTAACATATGGGATCGCACCGAGTTAGTCTGTAATGGCACCCCCGCCAGGTGTGTGCTGTTCGGCGTGAGGCTTGCCGTCGGCGCGTATACACCGGGGCTCTGCTTGAGCTGTCGCAGTAAGAAGATCGCTAGCATAACCACACCGTCCCCAGCTCGGCTACGGTAGCGCACGACGCAACTTGTATGCACTTCCCATACAAAGGGTGATGGTCAGTACGGACATCGAAAACTTGTACGCGCTCGTTAGTCACAATAATAGCGTGGCCATGCATATCTTGTAGTCGCATATGAAAGTGCCAGAAACAAAACATGATTTTTCGCGCAAAGTTACTTACATATTGTTCAATGGCGTCGCAGGGCTTCAACAAATTAGCATTGGCAGATGGCATTTAACTGCAAGTATGTCATGAAAACCTACATATATAAGGGTGTCACATTAACAAAAAAAGCCCGGTGGACTAGTAAACTACACATTAGGCAAACGCATGGAGAATGGGCAAATCATTAGTTTAGCTCATGCATCATCATTTTGCTCAATGAAATCATTACGTTCGTGATGCCAGCGGTGTTAACTAGATTCGACGTAGGGTGCAGAAGCCGGCTCGTTGTGCCGAAACGTTTGCAATCTTTGGCGCACAAGGACCCCGTTGTATATTGACGAGTCAAACGGCAGTTAACGTGCCAAGTAAAGTTACCACTGAACGTTGCTTATGTAATTACGCGAGTCTGTATGACCCTAATATATAGCCTCTGGTTCACAGCACTAAGTCCCGATGCGAGCTAACTTGGAAGCGGCGACAACGATTTCATTAGGTTGTGGCAGGAGACAATGTTAAATTGACGTACAATTAGACAATAGTGAATCTTGCTAAAATAGGTACTAATTTTTGCTCAGCGGTCGATTCCAATTCCAATTATCTTTCAAATTCTAAAATCATGGGGCTAGGAATTACATAATTTCAGAGTGCCAGTTAGACTATAATAGATAGTATAGCATACACTATCACATAATTTATTCATTACCGATGTAGCATACAGTCATTGACAGCATTTCAAGAATATAGTCTATGGCATGTATCATCTATGTATTAATGGTATCAAATTTTCACATGAAGTAACGCGAGCAAAAATACAGAAGGATTTATAATGGTCCGACGTAGTGAATGCTATATTGTTTAGTGTTAAGCATATTGGATGTGTCAGCCCCAGGGAAACGGGGATGAGGGTCGGGGCGATGTAGAGTGAAAGATGTAGCACAAGTTTCCAACGATGAAAGTTGATGGTAACAATTGTTCGGAGTGTAACGTGTGTGTTCACAAAAATAGGGGCCTACACGATGGACCAGCTTTACTATAGCGTTAGTGAGTTATGCAGCGCGGGACATAAATAAATTATTTAAGTGGGCATCGTACATTAACACATTGCTAAGCAATTGTCACGGGGAATATTGTTTGATGGTCAGCGTTAAATTCGAAATGACAGGTTACATAATAGTGCACATAACATCAGAAACCCTCATATCATATGAGATAGCTTGCTTACGAGGTGGCACGATGGTCCATTGTTAACATCATTGGCCCAGGCGACAATGCCAGAACGAGCAAAAAATGGAAGAGAGAAAAACAATGATACGGAAACGAATACGTACGAGCGGCGAGAATCGGGGGCGGGGGGCCCCAGGGCGCTCGTCGTCAAGGCCACTGCCAGACGTGTCGGAGAGTAGGAACCCTACAAGAACCCGCAAGTTTCACAATCTTTGACCATTAAACCTATAGTACTACACCTCTAGCTCGAGTTAGCAGCTACGGAGCACAAAAAGAACATGCATTAAACACGAAATTAATACACCATTTGTGAGCTTGTCAATAGACCACGGTCAATCAACAAAACACTATTAATGTATATGCGTACACTAATCCGCAACACTTACGATGCTCTGTACCACAACAGGCCCTCGTAGTTTCCATCTCCAGTTTTCTGCCATTCTCGCACTTCGAACCTTCATAATTATCACCCCTTGAGGCTAAGCACTCACGCTTATGAAACTCCATCTATAGATGGGCCATCTCACCGAAGCCTGGCTACGAGTGCGGCAGATCCTCATTTCCGTTAACAATTACTGTTGGCGCTTTAGTTAGTTGTGGGTGTGAACTGTCAACTGCGGTGGAGCAGGTCCTAAGTTAATAGAGGGCGAGCAACAAGCGACGCCGAAAAATGCCCCGTAGAGCCCAACGCTATCCTTACAGCCCTCGTATGCCGCCCCCTTAATATCGTGATCGGTCTAAGCTTCAACAACCAGGCCCAGGTCAACGCCTACTTCTCAATTAGCGTTGATTGTTAGCAATGCTGAACAAAAACTCCGTTATTTACAAAGCAAACGAAAGCGCGCGCCTAGTAACGCAACAAAGAAATTGGCAGCGTTTCTATGCCAGGCCTCGTACCTAACGCTGCGGTAAGTGCGATCCCTCGTGGCAATGCCGCAGAACTGGCTCTGATTAGAGCGATAAAGCCGGCTTCCTGTGGCTCGCTCCTGAAAGGACCGGCGATACTCTGCCGTCCTCGCCGGTAAAAGGCAGCGATGTTGAGTAAGTGCGCCACTACGTGGCGTTGAGCGCTTCGCGCGGATAATCCGCTTGCAGATCGTCAAGGTGCAGTATGCTCACATGTACCCATGCTTATATATTTATATTGATATGCTTGTCATCTGTAGCTGTTTTACCGACACAAATAGGCAAGAGGAGATAACCTAGAAAAAATATGTAATTTTATTTTCAATACATTTACAGATACCCAACTAATTGAAGACTTACAAATAACAAGCACCGTTGTTTTCGCCGCAGTACACGCATGCACAATATTGACAATAGTACATAAAAATATTAACTGTGTGCAGATAACATATACTTTGTGGTATAATTTACTGTTGCTGGCCTCGGCACTCACCGGGCAAACTAACTAGGTAAAATCATTAGAGTAGCCGGCAGTCAGATGAGATTAAGTAAATAGATAAAGTGAACTATCCCAAAGCTGGACGTGCGTACCGTTCCCACCAACTTACGATCGTATCTCCCAGTAATCTAGGAGTTACGGACGATCTCCGCCAGCAATCGTAAAATTTACGCCGAGGTCGGAGCGTATGGCAGGCCTAGCTGCGAGTCAAAATTGTGGTAAGGCGAAATAGGATTAGGCCAACTGAGATGTTACCCCGGTTTTTTCCTAAAACCGACCGGCATCTCCCGCAACTGTTAAGGCCGGCGTCTCCAGCACACAGCGGCGGCGGCGCCAGGACGGCGGAACGGCCTAGCGGAAACGGCGCTTGGTTCACGCCCTAGCCTCGGCAACAGTTCAAAATCTATTTATATCTTAT